ACCACCCACCGCCAACTCTGGGCTATTCTTTTACCAACGAATAGTGGGATTGACCGTAACATTATAACGCCCCCACGGCTCAAAGGGCGAGCATGTTTGGTGGGACGGGGATCGAACCCGCGACCCGCAGATTGCGAGTTGAGCGTCCGAACCACCTGGCAATGCCGGGCCCGGTTCTCTAGTGATAAGAGTATACAAAACAAAGTAATTAAATGGGAAATATTCAAGATTTTAGATAAAGCAGTTAAAAAAAATCACGTTTATAGCAGAAACCGTAGAATATCTTAAAAGTTACGTCTAATGAACTGAAATAGTTTATAATGATAAGATTTTAGGAAGGGTGCTGTAGCTTTGTGATTAGTTCACTAAGAAGACAAATTACAAACATCTTGTAAAGAGGATGACTTATTTAGGATATAAGCAATGTATATAAGTCACAACACATTTTAGTTATGTATTTGATTGGGGGGGGGACTATAGAATAAGACTGAATTGTGTATGTATATATACATATTAACGTATATATAACCTAATTATTGTCTTACCTATATCCCACTGCGTTGGATTAGCGTCTATTTCTTCCAGTGCAATAACGTACCAGACGCAGGCCATCCAATGAGCGACGAGGGAGAACATTAACATCAACATAGTTAGGATGATGGCACTATACTGAGAGTATCGGTCCATCTTCTGAAGAAGTCGAGCCAGACGGAGCAGACGTGTAAGTTTGAACAAGTGCATCAAGGTGTTCTAGAGAAGAAGGACAGTAACACAAACGTTTTACCAAATTTTGTACAAACAACCTTTCTATATTCTATAACTTTCTTTAACTGTCGTGGAGCATAAAGGAAAACAGCTGACAATTTAAACTAAAAATATATTTCTGTCGAGAGAGAACCGATCATACCATTCTTGGAGAACCCACCACCATCACCAACTGATGTGGGAACCATTCCGTTGTTGGACAGAGAGAGTGGTGTGATTATCCGTACACACCATCACCAACTGATGTGGGAACCATTCCGTTGTTGGACAGAGAGAGAGGTGTGATTATCCGTACACACCATCAAACAACGGAATGGTTCCCACATCAGTTGGGGACAGAGAGAGAGGTGTGATTATCCGTCCCCACCATCACCATTCCGTTGTTATGATCGTCAATACAGTCTGTGATGTAATATTTGTCTGATAGAAAAACACGAGTGTTTCCAAAAGAGAAAGTTTCTTCGTAGCAACTCACTCCAACAGAAATTACCTGCTACAGGGTCAAAGGATAAAATATATATATGTGTGTTTTATTTATATATAATATCATTAAAAATATTACACTGTAAAAGGAGATATTTTGAGCAACTTGAAAAATGTTTTCACTTTGCAAACGTTCACCAAGTCCTACATAAGTTCGTGGGATTACGAGATCATTAAAGTAGAAGATAAAACAGTAAAGTTGTTCCTTACAGACAAGCATTGGAAACTTTTACTATCAGAAACAAAACAAAAGAATCGACTTGTAGATAATAAAAGGAGAGTATAAAACCTACTGTGACACATTTAGTTGCACAGTAACAATTGTGTATTTGACAGTAAAATATAGTAAAACTCACATAAACTTACTGTGACACATTTAGTTGCACAGTAACAATTGTGTATTTGACAGTAAAATATAGTAAAACTCACATAAACTTACTGTGACACATTTAGATGCAC